ATATGTCCACTTGGTCTTATTTTGCTCTCCACTAGCATTGCCTGACCTATTTTCTGAAACTTCCGAAATTATTTTAATAATATCCCTGTCCCCTTCACTTTGACTTCACTTTCACCTGTAAAAAAGGTAAAAGTAAAGTAATGGTTTCCCTTTAACAGGCCGCGGAGGCCCATAGGGTTGTGTGACATCGAGGTTCCCACATTTTCTAGACAATCGGCTCACAGATGGTGGTGAGGTCAGCCTTATGCGCCGACCACCCTTTACCCCCAGGAATATTTCTGGTACTCATCTCTGTTAAGAGGTTGAGTTGTGCAGAAAGATTAGGTAAATTGATTAAATCCACCCCATCAGGATTCGATCCTGTGACCTTCTGGCTTGTAGCATAGTGTCTCTACCAACTACACTAGAACATGTCCCCGTAAAAAAGGTAATGTATGTGAATATATCTTTACTCTTTTTCAAAATATGTAGTGATATGTTAGAAATGAGAAAAATAAAAAAACTGAACAAAAAGTACTTTGCACTAAGTTAGATGACATACAGGAGTCTGTGGAGGAAAACCATCATGTCTGAACATGAGCATGTAGTGTTCATAAAACAGGCAATACTGGGTAGCAAGGTTTTAATGTCACCCCAAGCAAAAATGTCTGGTGGGGTCACAAGGTGAATTTTGAGGCCAAGCAGTTGGGACCTCCATGACTGCACCAGTTGTCACAGGGTTTGGTTTAAAAGTCATGCACTTGAGGGATTTTTTTTTTTCACCAAAGCAAAAAAGCTGGTCCACTGTTTAGCATGTAACTGTACACATCACAAAATTCAGTTTTGGATTTCACCTCTCAAGCTCATTCACCATGTAGAGTTTCTGTTCCCCAAATGATCAGGCTGTATTACCTCTTCCACACATGCTGAACATGGTCTCATCACTGAGGAAATACTTGCATCCACCTGTCCACATATCGAAGTTACGTGTTCCAAATGATATGCATAATCCCACAGTTGCAACACCTGCAGATACTGGGTGTGACAAGTAAACATTTTTGGGTACATGATGTACTGACATGTGGTATAATGCATATTTGTTTCCAATAACAATTGCCTGTGGTCTCCATCTTCTGCCACAATGCTTCTTCACAATAAATTCAGTTTCCTCAAATATACATCTGTAAATATTTCAGTGTGAGGGGGCTTCATGAACACCACACGCATGTCGATACACTTGTTAACACTTCGAACTGGAGAAACATGACACACTTTTACTTTGTGCTACGAGACCTTCTTCTTTCTTTTTAAACTTTGGCATGGTGCAGCCTCAGCTGGCAGTATATTGCAGTGTGTATTTACTGTTAAACTCCCATGTTTCCTTCACTCACAAAACCTATGATGGAATCTCACAGCTTTACTTTTGTTACTTTAACAGACCATCCTGAACTCTCTTTTCGGATTACAAACAGGAATGTCATTTTTCGTTGCCATTGCCATTTTGAATGATGCATCTGTATGGAAATATCTTGTTCTGCTAAAGAATTCTATGAAAAATTAAATTTCCCTAAATAGGAAGGCTGCATTGATGGCCTCCATGGCCTGTTACAGACATAGCTTTACTTTTTTTTTTTATCGAACTTCACATTTCCACATAAAAATATTAATTAACACTTACAGAACAGACAATCTGAAGGAAGACTGTTCACTTGTGACCTACTATATAACATGTTTATAATGCATACTGAAGTTTAACAATTCATTGCTATAGTAACCCAAAATTATGTAATTCAAGGTTTCATCTCAGTGTTGCAAAAATTTTAACATATGCAGAAGTATTAGACAGGTTAACTACATTCACTCTCTTAATCACATACTTTGTCATTTAAATGAAATAAATCCATTTCTGTTGCTTTATTTGAAATTTACTTACTCGTACATGACAGGTTCAACTCCGGTCCCACTTCACAATTCTGTCATGGTATAGTTTGCTTCTAATATCCAACAAATAAATCATCTTTGTTACATACTATTTATTTGGGTTTTCAGTCTCCCCTACCAGTATTCGAAGAGTAAAATGAAAATGGCTAGCAAGTTCATAATTAATGGCTAAAAACAAACAAATTAGTTTTTATAGACTAATCCGAAGACTTGCCTAAATTCATATGAATAGGTTAGACCTAGAGTTGCTCACATATACCACTTTAAACCCATCTGTCTCACATCTGTGACCGAGTTCATGAGACTGAAAAGTCGTCAGACTACTGTATCCACTGTAACTGCAAACTAACAGTCTTACTGAATATTACAAGATGCATTCATTACTGTTAGTTTATTATATAATATGTTTCACTTTTTACTAATGTTTGTGTGCTGTGTTTTCTTTGAACCTGTTTGTGTGTTGTCTGTTGTCTGTCTTATTGTAGTACCACTGCCACTGGGTGAAAAACCATTTGCAGTTAAATAATAATACTGCAGCTGTTGCCCCAACAAAAAACAAACAACTCAGCAAGGCAGCTCAAATTCTATAAATTAATTTGAACTTATAAGCAGGGAGTGTTTATAAAGGTGTGGCTACAAAGTTTCAGGAAAAGTAGCATGACACACTACTATCACAACCCCTTCAAACTTATCAGTGCACAGTGAATAGTTTCTTCAACTATTATTCAAGTATTTATTCATATCATTGTATTAAATCAAATGAAAATGCTTTGTGCACTGAAAATGTAAACATGCTTGATAATTTTTTTTAATACTGCATTAATCTCAAATTTCCCATGAAACCTAAGCAAACCACCGAAGGTTACACCTGTTAAAAGTTTATAGGAATTCTGTATTACTGAATCGATGAGTTTTCAAGTCAGCCGAATTATTTTCTGAAAATATCCATGATGGTTCTTGATTTGGCCTGCCCACAACAGCAAAATTTGATGAAAATTCAGAAAAAGTATAACATGTTCAAATAAAAGGCCTGATTATAGAAAAAATTAAGGAAGATTAAGTATTTTAACCTTTAAGTGCCAAAGTGCCCAGTTTGTGCCAGTCATGAGTAAGGTCGTCGGGGCCAAAGTACCCCGTTTTGTCCAGTCAGGCATTTAAACTCTGCTAGTGGAAGCGCGCGCACACGCCGCTAGTAGAAGCGCATGCACATTCCTAAATATTTATTTTCAAATGTAGTAATTACCAGACAGACTTGAGTAAAACCCTAATAGAGGAATTAAAATAATACCTAACTGAACAACAGCAAATAAAAATATACGTATGAGTTATGCCAAAACTTATCCACGATCCAGTAATTTTATTGCAGATTCTGCAGATAGGTATGTTAAAAATATATTGTAAAATTTGATGTACATACCTTTTTTGTTGTTACCTGCTTGATGTATATACAGTTTCAAATAAAACTACCGTATTCAATTTCACTACGAACGCACACAAAACAGATCGCGCTCTGTATCTCAGCCACGATGCAGCTGTCTGTTCACTCAAATAGAAGGGGCAATAAGCCTTTGCAGTTCTAACGGAAGGTTTTAGCACTGAACAAGGGACCCCTCTAGCTTTCTCTTGAATAGCCATTCTTTCATTCTTCTGACCTTCAGTCAAAGATTCGAAAATCCGAAGGGTGTAAGCAGTGCTAGCAGAAGACCAAATGATTTTATTGCTTCCATCTGTTTTATGACACCAGGGACTGCTAAAATTTGTCAAGTGTTAAAAAAAAATAAATTTATAATGCAGAACAACTCTGTGAAGAACTGGGAAACAATTTTTGCAGTACGCATCAAAATTAAAACACAAAAAATTGAAAATAGAGTATAACACTTTGTATTAAAAATTTCAAATCTTCTGTTATAATATGCGACACTATGTTCTTTGCTGATATAAACAAAGTTAATACCATCCATTTATCATAAAAATTGTGCTAAATACAGCATTTTTAAACACAACACTTAAAATTGATTAACCGCCTAACAGGAACGGACATTTAAACGCAAGTGAGCAATGGGCATTTAAATAAACTCCGGCCAGCTCAAGTTTACCACTATTTCGAAGTCCGGCGTTTAAAGGTTAACTATTAACACAAGATACCATGAAACACTGGACTAGAAATGCAATTTTTGGCAGAAAAATAACTTCATCTGATGAAGAGAATGCGCATTCTCATAATTTGGTTCTATAAGACATCTATTATCAGCTAAAACAGCTTCACTGAAAGAGACGCATTTTAGGTCAACAGAAGAGATATAGCAGTGCATGTCGTGTGCTAAGCACATTATCAGAAAATGTGGTCCAGAAATGTTTTCAGGTGTGGTAGAAAAGGAAAATTTTTGTCAAAAGTATTTTATAACCACTGACTGAAGATTATATATTATTTCAAATTCTTTTTTAAATTCCCTCTGGGCTTCCAATTTTGGAGGATGCTCTTCATCTATGCAACATCTGTCAAGGACTGGGTCACTGTAAGCTGGCCTAATATTCTGGAAGATACTACAGTGGAACCTCGCTTAACGAGCATAATTCATTCCAGAGTCTTACTTGTAATGCGAAACAATTTTTTCCATATATTAAATTACATATACATTCTTAAGGAGCGTGAATCATCTTCATATTTTCTTCTATGCGGAATGAACTATCTTGAGGATAGCGCAAATTGTTGATGTAGACCGATTGTATGTGTGTGCTAGATCAGCCATACTCACACCTCGTTCTTGCTTTTCAATGATTTTACGTTTCATTTCTACGGTTATTTTTATTCTCTTATGGCTGCCTTTTTGCGGCTTTTTCTTTGGGGACATTTTGCAAGGGTTATTAAACTTTGCAAAAAAAGAAATCACAAATAATACATCTGAACACAAGTTTGGAAAAATGTGTGATCACAAGCAACACTAAGACGCTAGCGGAACGAGTGCTAAACACAGACTGATGTAGCAAGAGCACAATGTAGGACTTCCCCTCTCGTCACTCGTTATGGGAGGTGCTCGTTAAGCGAGGTTCCACTGTACTATCTGAAAAATAATACAGCATTTGTATGACATCATTAAAAAACTTTATTACAATATTGTTTCTTGTCCAAGAAGTAAGGAAATTCACATATAAAAGTGCTGTAGTTTTCATGACTGTAAAGCAAATAGCTATGATGAAATTGTTTCAACTGCAAAGCAAGTCTTAAGAGCAAGTATCTGCTTTCAAAATTGCAAGGCACCCGGCTATTACTATTAATGAACTCAAATTAAGGTACACCACATCCCTCTAGCTCCATTAAATAGTTGTATAAATTATCTTTGCCAAGTGGTGCATTATTGCTGGTGGTATTTATAGCGCATCTTCAAATGGAAATACATACGAAAGCAACACAACAGTACCATAAATGTACTTGCTCTCAGAATCATACTTGCAAGATAATCTGAACTCAATTATATGTATACACTGGTATCTTAGCAATAATAATATTAATGTATGGAATCAATGTATGTTACAATGTATATAGCCTTGTGAAAATTTGCTTCATATAAATTTAGTGACTACATTTCATATTCTTTTTAAGTGGTGTCTTTCAAGTCTCATCTGGTCCCACTGGCTTTGTTCATTTAGTCACAACATTCTAATCAATATGTACCGCAATATTTGTTGTAATACACATCTAACAAATTAAAACATAAAATAGCACCTCATAAAGCACTTCAAACTAGATAACATTTAAAAACAAGAGATCAGAAGAAAATGCATAAGCCTTTGCCAGTCTCTGTAGTAAGCCTACTTCATTCTGTTCCTTTGAGATTTTAAGTATGCATTCCCTGCAAGTGCTAGATTAATGAGGATATAGTGTATAGTGTTTATATACAGTATCCACACAAATCTAGCACTCGCAGGAAATATGCACTTAAAATCTCAAAGACACCGAATAAAATAAATTATTCCAAGTGAAACAGTCTTTAAAGACACCATTTAAAAAATCTGGAACTGTAGACCTTAGAGAAGTGTCTAATTCCATTTGTTGCACTTGTACAATCATTCGTTGTTCTCAGCAGCCAGAGACGTCACAGTAACTTCAGTCTTTGTTGTTTTGGTTGAAGCTGTAGTTGAGGCACGAGTTCCACTGTTTGGCATGGAAGAGGTAGTCTTCTTTGGCCCTACTTTACCTGTGGATGTAATGACAGTCGTCTTTGTTACGCCTGCCATGACCCTCCGAGCAGCAGGTGCTGCTGTACTGTGAGCAGCCGCCGTCACAGTCCTGTTTGAGACAGTACGAGTTGTTGATATTTGCTTCTGTCTATTTGTGGCAAGCTTTGCATCAGAGGCTGGGCCTACTTTACTGCCAGTTGTTCCAATTGCCACTGTTCCTGCTGATCGAGATTTGCTGGCCCCTATATTCACAGTTCCAGATTTTAGTTGGGGGGACACAGTTGACACAGGGTTAGTCCTACTTGTGACTGTACCCATCTGTCTTGCTGCTCCAGTCTTAGTAGTGGCTGGGGCTGTTGCAGGCCGGCTTTGTGGCCTGGCTGCTGTAGAAGCAGAAGTTTTCTTTAGTACAGCAGGCTTAGCTACATCGCCATTACTTACAGCTGCAGACTTAGCAGCAGTGGTTCCAGCTTGTATACGTGGGCTAACACCTGTTGATTTTATAGCAGAAGATAGGGGTTTTATGGGGGATGTGGCACCTGGCTTAGGTTTATTTGCAATTACTGGTGACTTTGTGTCTTTGCTTGCAGGAGAAGGACCAGAAGATATAGATTTCTTAGGTGTCGAGGAACGGATAGTTGTCGATGGGGGTTTTGCTGGTGAAGATGGTTTTGATTTCTGCAATATTCTTGCTGTACCGGTAGCTGGTGGTGCAGTTTTATTGCTAACAGGCGCTTTGGCTGATTTTATTTTAACAGCAGCTGTTTCCTTCTTGTCTGCAGTGGTCGGCTTCTTTGAAAGGTTCCTTTCTGGTGCCTTGACTTCCTCAGCTGGTTTCTCCTCATGAGCCACTTCAATTCCAGCTGACACTGCTGTGGCTACAGCAGTACCTACTGCGACTGCAGCAACAACGCTGCCTTCAGTTACTGCATCAACCATTTTTTCTGACACCTTAACTGGCTCGGCATGTGCTGGCGGTGGTTCCACACTTGATAGCTGTGGCATTTCCTCCGAAACATGCTCAGGGGCTGGTGGCGGTATGTGCCTCACCACACATTCCTCTGCTTCAGCTTTTACTGGATGTACTGAATCTTCAACAGGAAATGTCTTCTTGTTTCCATCCTCATTGGCTCTGGCTATGTCGCCGAGCATTGTGTCATAAGCTGGTGATTTCTGAATGTCTTCATTCATCAGAAGTGGATGATCCTCTAATACAGAACTACGACTGACACTGTACACATCATCCTTCAGGTGGTGCTCTGGATCAGTTATTTCTATGGGTGACTGCACTTTTCCAAATGGATCCAATGATCCAGGAGTAAGCAAAATCTCAGAACATACTCTGCGTTCCTCTTCTCTTTCCACGAGATCTTGCATACTAAATATATCAGACGTTGGAGGTTGATTTGGACATGGTTCAAAGTGGCTGGGGGGGTGAGGACTTTCAAGCAGGAAAGCATCTGGTCCTAGCAATACGGAAGGTTTGGACCACATATCCACAAGGGGGGAAACTAGTTCTGGTGCTGAAGTTGATACAGGAGAAGCTGATCCACAAAATGATTCAGGCATGGGGGTACTAAACTGTTCTGGTGAGAAAATTTCTCTTTCTGCATTGGATACAGTATCATCAGCAGGTGATGAAAGAATGTCAGTAGATAAAAGATCTTTCAAGGAAGGCTCTTGTATTTGTGATGTAACAGCCTGTTCTTCAGCAACTGGAGGATTTGGTACAGGGGAAGACATAGGTAAATCTGGGACTTGGGAAAGGATAGCAGATTCTTCCAGCTCCTGCAGTTGCTTACCTTCTTCCGGCAGTGGAGAGACAGAGTCATCCTGAGATGATACATCTTCACTCTCAAGCTTAACTCTCTCTAGTTTCAATTCCACCTCTGGAACCAATTCTTTCTGCACCTCAAAACAACTGGATACTACATTCTCCAGCGCCATACTTCCTTCTTCATGCAGTGCAGTTTCTTGCACTTCAGATGTGTTCATACAAACTTTATTCTCATTAATTCTGTACAATTCATTATCATCACAGGAACTACTGGTATCAAACTTTGCCGTATATGGCATAAACTCAGTTTCTTGGAAATCTAGATCAGTGAATGATTTATCCAATGCTGGTAATGATGATGTACACTCAGTCACTGTCTTCTGGAGCACTGATCCAATGGTCAAGGAGCCTCTGGAATCATCACCAAACTCTGCTTTTGTGGAAGTCACCTCAGATTCATCCAATGTCAATTCTTGCACATCAATGTTCTGGTGTTCTGACAATATTTCATTTTTTTCCTCCTGCAAAATGTTTTCCTTATCTTCCAGGTTGTGAGAAGAGGAGACAAATGGATTTACACTGTCTCCTTCCTCAGTGGTGATAAGGTCTGGTAGCTTGGAAAACATCTTGTTCTCTGGTGACACTGGTGCTTCACTGGCAAGATCCAGCTCACTTGGACGGTGGCTCGCCTCGTGTTCAAATTCTGACTGGCTGGGGACAGAGATGTCTTCCATTTTGATGCCTTTACTGGGAGACTGGGCCAACAAAACTTCCTCCATACATTGCATCATCTGTGTTGGTGATGGCACAAATTCTGCTGCATCAGGATTCAACTGAGACTCCATATTTAACTCGTCCTCTGACTGTGGTTCTATGGGCTTCTGGTGAATCTAAGAACAAAAATTCACAAGTCATACTGAGTTCTATGCCTAGAAGGGATGATAATACTGAAACAAAGGTAAAACTGTCACTGTGCTTAATGAGGCCCACACACTATGAGGTCTATGGTGGAAGGAAAGCAGTGCTCCATTCTTTCTTATGTTTCAGCAGTAGCAGGGAGTGATTAGCTTCATGCTCAAGTCCCAGTATGTATTACTATTAGAAGACTTGGTAGGTCCCGCAGCTGGTCTGGATGTTACTGAAATAGATCTTAACAAATATGGAAGCTATATACATCATGACGTCCATCTGACTTTCAGATGACCAGTTTGAATTAACTACTGTCTTTTCAATGGCTACCTGTTCCATGGCAACTGTTGGTTCTACTGTCATGTTTCACATTTCTTGATTGGTATGTGCAACTGAAATACTGAAAGAGCAAATAATGTCCTGGTGAAGATTAACGAAAAATGTGGCTTTATTTTTTATAATTCAATATTGAAGTCTACTTAAGTCGGTGGGGGCGCTATAAAGTACAGATGCTGCTTTCTGTTTGAGTGCACACAACCACACACAAAACACTGGCAGCTTCTATGTTACATGAAAATAGCACAATGCTTTTACATTTCTCCTGAATGGATTACAGTATAAAAAACAAAAGCATTTTCTGTGGAAAATATATACCACAAGAGCTACAATAGAATACAGCCCTTCATTAATCTGATTCAACTGTGCATTTCAGAGCTTATTTAACAACAGTGTACAGCCTAAGAGGAAAAGGGGTTGTGAGAAGAATTTATGATACCAGCCTTTCTTGAGATCTGTCATTTTAAATGTTCTGACTAGTAAGAACTGAATTAATAAATACATAACTTAGTGATCCATTCCTGTGCACAACTTCCATTATGCAATTTTTTTTTCTTGTCTGGCATCCTGTTGTGTATACATCAATTGGTATATTGAAATAGATGTCCAAATCAATCAATTATTGAACTGTAACTTCCTAATTAATTGTTGTGTTGACGGTCCCAATATAAACATTCATTTCACAATGTAGTTTAAACTATATTAAATGTCAGAATTACTGGGTTTTTGGACTTTGTCCATCATCTGGCATTCTAGAAACCAGAAAAAAATAAAGTTTTGAAAACTGGACCTTTTTCTGTCCTAAGGTGGGGGGACCCTTTGAAAGACCTAACCTCAATCACTGAACCTGGGGTGCAATGTCATGGAAAAACTGCTTAAGATTGGAGGGTACATCAAGGAAGGATACCATGTTTTCATTGACAACTATTTCATATCTGCTCCACTTGTCCACCACCTCCATCAGCTTAGCACCTACATCACTGAAACTGTTAGGAGGAATAAGAAAATTTTGCTTCAACAGTTCAAGAACAAATTTGCAGTTGGACAAAAAAAAATTATTGCAGATTTGGTCCCCTTCTTGCATGTTTTCTGCTAGTAGGGGGGGGGGGACCTGTCATTCTCCCCAGCCACAGCACAGTCCAAGAAGAGGAAGTATGGGGAACACATTGTGGCAATCCACAAATAAAACCCAAAATCATCACATCCTACAAGTTTATGGCTCCCTTTGAAAGGGCTAAAATTTCAATGATTGTGAAGTGATCCAACTGAGAAGGTGTCTCCCACCTCACCTGAGGATAGAGACAGATAGTTTCCAAAACACCGTGTTTTCTACTTTTCAGAATGCTGGATGATGGACGACGAAGAAGAAAGAAATAAAAAGAACCAATTCTGAGTGTTATACACCACTGTCAGAAACATTTAGAATCTACATATGAAATACAAGTTACATAAATATCTGGATGAACTTAAATTCAGAAGTCCTTAAAGTACTGTATTTCTTGCATTTCCAAGGCATAAAGTCTGAATTCCATTCACTTTCAAGGCTTTGTTAGTTTGTTTACGTCCTCATCCCATAGACAATATACATTTACTGTGTATTTCAAGCATAAAGATTTCCTGCATATGTTAGTACACAACTTTCATTTTATTTTTGAACAAATGTGTAACATGTTTTCTATTTAAATTTTTCCTTACATGAAGTTCTTCAATTTTCCCACAACTTGATTAATATAAGAATGAAGCTTGGGTAATTTAGAAATTTTGCATTCTGATGTGTGCATGTGTGCGTGTGTTGGGGGGAGCATAAACTGTAGTCAGTTGCTTCAATTAACTGAATACATTCTACACTGACTGAGAACCTCTCGCAACAAACACACGAGCCTGTACTTCCCAAACTAATTGCTGTCAGCAGCATAATTAGACTTCACCTCCAAATTCAGCACTTACAAGCACTTTTCACCTACTACAGAAACCGAATCATGATTACTTAGAACTGGAAAATCATCTTCAGACTCATCTACATCACTTCCTCACTCACCAACCACCCTTGGAAGATTTGTTTGGAGTTCTGATGTGTAAGGATCATGCTACTTCAAGCTCAGGTTTCCAGAATATGCCCTGTAACTAGCTTCATAACTGTGCTTAATTAAGCACAGTAACAACATTACCTTTATCAATAAAAACTTGAAATCAATACTTATTTTCACTCACCAGCAGTCACTGAACAGAGTTCAAAATTAGTTACAACTATTTTAAAACAATGATAGCAATAAATATCGCAACATGAATCAATACAATCTCAAGAATGAAGAGTGCACTAATTTTAACTTTGATTAAACTATGTTTATAATTCTAAATTTCATCAAAAATATCTGTGAACAATACAGTGCACCAACTTGTAACACACAAAAACAGACCTGACAATGGTTGTGTGTTGGCTGAAACATGTAGTACATCGTTAACAAGCACATAACAGTCTGAATGGTTAAATAAAAGCTACAAATTCAGAACAGCACTCAAAGAGTTCCCTAAAAGACAAATAGCAATGCATACTGGCTCTGTGGCTTCCCGAGTCCCTTCTGAAGTGGGCTCAACGCGATAGTAGTTCCACTCGTCCTCAGAATCCTCTCCACTTTCAGCTACATTGTCCGGCTCTGGCGCTGTGGAAACCGCAGGAACTGTGGAAATAAAACATATTAATATACGTATACAGGGTGTCCCAGGAGGAATGTGCCAAACTTCGGGAGGGTGTTCCTTATGTTAAAGAATGCCGATATAACCCAAAACACCTATGTCCAAAGTTGAACGGTTACGGAGATAATGGCCCAAGAAAAGTGTGGTCTTCTGGCAGGTCCAAGCACTGTACCTCGCTGTACCTCTCAGCTGAGAGCCCTTATCTATGTTTGTCCTTGAGTGCGATGATACTCCCTAGCCGTGCTTATGTAGTTGGCTCATACCAGAACGCGCAGTCAGCACGTTACGTCATCGCTCGCCAGTCATGTGTTATGTATACTGCTTGGAAACCTAAGGACAATTATGACATGGCGAGCGAGTATTTTGTACTTCAATTTTATGGCTTTCCGTCACTCACAAGTTAGTTTGATGTTACGTACATTATTAACATTACAGAATCCACATATTCCTGCCAGTTTTAATATCTATTTTGTAATCAACAAGTGTGTAACCCCGGTCAAAGTTTGACACTTCTCGGGCCATTATCTCCGTAACCGTTCAACTTTGGACATAGGTGTTTTGGGTTATATCGGCATACTTTAACATAAGGAACACCCTCCCGAAGTTTGGCACATTCCTCCTGGGACACCCTGTACATAGTTGCAATCTGTATTCCCTACAAAACAGACATAAATACATTGTACGATGAGGCACCGACCAAACAATTTATGTTAATACTATACTTCACGGGCCTCCATACAGTTTATCATATAAAAGTCTACAATATACCACGTCTGTGGGAATATACAAGATTGCAACGACTGACTTGGTGATACAGATTATCACCTGAATAATTTTAACCTTATTTTACTAAATAACTTTTGTTTTATAATAAGTTTATATCTCATTGTAATTTTTATACCATCTGTTTTATAATATGATAACTGTCAAGTATCCAGACTTACTATGTAATTGCAGTTCACTAGTGTGTAAACATGATGATCCTGTATTTGCCTGATGATGGTTATGAGTAGCCAAAACATGTAGCATAGCTAATTTAGCCTTGAACTCTGTATTGTTGTGTTGTGATGGTCTTAACGAAGAGTTGTATACATAAACTCCAGTTGTCCAGAACAATACATTCTACTAAACTCATCAATCAAACCAACTTCACATTCAGTTATGCTAACAGCAACTTGCAAAGTCTGACACTAACTCCTTCGTATAGGAGTAATACAATGGTAAAGCTGTCCTTGTGCATAGGGGAATGGATGTACACTTTTTAACCTCAGCATTATTCCTTTTCTCAAACCTATTACAAGAATGCTATGCAACAGAGCACAGGGTGTGAGGTGGGCCAGTTCCAGTTGGGTCACATGGTACACAACAGAACTAAGAAGTGGTGCCAACTGATCTTAGAAATGGAAAATTCATCAATAAGAGTTTGCAGCTGATCCTGTTTTGGGCAGTCTGAACCTCCGTAGAATACACAATTCTTAAGACTCTCCACAGCACACCAGGTTTTCTGTCCTGGTAGTGCAGTTGACACGAATTTTAAATTCCACACATACACACTGCTTGTGTGTATTACCCTGGATTCCACTGTTACACACCTTAATAGCCATAAAGAACAGTATTTTGGAGTTCAATGGAGTATGATTTAAATTCAAGGTACAACTGTTTGCGGCTAACAAGAAACAACCTTTTCTGTTCACGAATTCTTTTTCGGTCTGTAGTTTTGACTAACATATTCTTTCCGTCTTTCCTGAACACATCTGAAACAACTTATCTTCACAAAATGGCTTCACTGTCTGCATAGTTTCTTCAAAATTCGTTTTTCCCAGACTCTCTGCCGGTTCAGTTACAACACCTTGCTTGTTCTTTAATTCATGAGGTTTGTTTACCATGTATTTAGTTACTCCAAAGTTAATCTGTTGTCTCCTGAACTGTCCAACTTTAGGCACTACTTCCAACAATTTTAGAACCTCCTGTTTTGAAGACGTTGGACATTTTTGTGTCACTTCATTAAAGCAGAAAGATCATCATATCCTTCACAAATCTGTTTACTCCCATTATCCACGACTTCAGACTAATGTTGCACCAGGCAAAGTGAGCACTTTGGCAACTTCTGCAAGTGACACTCTGACTTGTATGTGAAACCTTTCTTTCCCCATAACCTATCTATTTCTGCAACACCATGTAGTTTCACTGGAGGAACCCTATTTTTTTTTATTGCTAGTGGGGTGTCATCAGAAGTAGGCCTAAAACTTCCACTTTCCAAACAAAAACTCTACACAATGTAAAACAAATGAAACAACATTGCTGATGGAGTTCTTTTCTGCCAATTCAGATCTATATTCTTACTAGTGTGTTAGGCCTGGCAGAGATGCCAGAGCTCTGTATACCTGCCACTGTTGCCAAATCTTCAAAAACATGAACATGATACTGGTTTATACTTTGAAATTTTAATTTCATGGTAGTGGAGCAAATGTCCATTCTAAATGCAATACTACAATGTTTCTTTATAATCATTAAGAGGCTTATACACAGGTCGTAACTACCAACCTACTGCTGATACACGTATAAACTTTTCGTCAATAGATTTCTTGAGAATAACTGCTGTGCACCAAATTCCATGTTTCTGCCTTTTCATATAAAGAGGATATTTACGTATTTGTGAAAAAGTGTACTAATGTATGCGAAATCTGATTTATTGACAATAAAATACTGAAACTGTGAAAATGTTTACTGTATTGCCACCAACAAGAAAGTAAAAAATCATGTATATTTACGTTTTTTGTGGACTATATAAACGTATTTAACGGGTCATAAAGTACAATACAAGAACTCTGTTCATAGGTTTCCTTTCTTTCTAAATAAGTTTAAACCATGGGAATGCTGGGGGTCATAAATCACATACAGGAGAACACTTACATAGTGAATTTGTTTTCCACAGATACTACACGAACTATTTTATAACAAAATCTGTATTTAGTTTTTTGAAATCCCAAAGTGGTCAATTTAGGGGGGGGGGGGGGNNNNAAAAAAAAAGGAGAAACTGGCGAAACCACCACTGGTGCTGTTAATTCTCAAAACAACTTTATTCGCATTGTTGCTGTCAATGGTCCTGATGTGATCAAAGGATCATAAAAATATAATTTTCGTTACAAACTGCTTGTTTCTAAAGTCGTGTAGTCCGCTTCATCGCGCCTGCCTTATATGGATCATGCAACTAACTTGCTTCCATCAATTTGCGATTAATTAATCTTAATAACGTTCACGTTTATCATTAAAACAAAAACATATTCAGAAAAGCTCTACTACTTCGCTTGCGGCTGAAAGGGCGTTTTGAAACTAGTACTTGTAATATGTTTCCCACGTCTTTAAAAATGTTTAATATCATTACAATAAGGTAAATATATCTCGTATCTGCTGTAACAAGTCCCTCCCAATCTACTTCATGGCCGTCAAAACTATTTCAACTACATTCCGTAATCCTCCACACAAAATGGGTTTCTTTTTGTCCGTGGTTTCTAAGGTTCTGAGACGTTCATTTCGCTTATGGGAAAATCGTTAAGTGAATATATTTGAAATCAACACAAATCTTTGTGGTTTACGAGTATATCGAATTACTGTTACGATTATATGGTTCAAGTGAACTGGGCATATTACCATTCAAGAAAAAATCTTGGAAAACAATACATGGGGGCATGTGGGCCACCGGGCAACTACGACGTATTAAAAACGTAAAATCCGTTTTGGAAATACGGAGCAGGCTGAACTGGTTCACAATGGGCCCAAAGGCAAGGAAGTTTGTCTCTGCGATTTGGAACTCAAGTACCACAGCAAGATATAATTAAATATACCAAAATAACTATATTTTATGGTTGCTATCTGTCAAACGAGTACAAGGGGGGGGATTTAATCAAACAAGTGTCCAGGTCACTTCTATGCAATATGGCTGTAGTGAACTGTGCTGCATGTTTCAGGGGCTTATCCCAACTCATTCACAAAAAGCAGTAACTATTCTGGCCGTAGAGAACATGTTACAGCCGCTGGCAATCGAATGTTTGCCCCTACAGTCATTTGTAACAAGCGAAAATATGTAAATTTTATGAAATGGTCTACAGGTAGAAATTGTAACATCACGACGCAGAACAGCTGTCGCCCACACAAAGGTACAATTGCAGCTTGCGTCGATTTCGGCCTTCGTTGGAACCGGCTGCTATGGCCATGTGCCAGTAACATTAACTATGGCTCATGAGTACAAATATGAACCCAGTACCGGCTCTAATCACCACACCCTTCTCACGGGAAACTGTACTGAAAACGACGTTAATGTTTTGTGTGTACCCCAACAACTAACGAAATAACGTCTTCTCTATTCATACTGACGAAATACTCGCTATTATAATTATACATTTATCCACTGAAGACAAAATTCATATACATTAGGCTACAAACCAGTATACCTTTTGGTAACTAATTCCGTAACAACTACATTCAACCAATAATTGCACGTTGTCACAGGAGAATACACATACTATTCTCTTACCCCATTGCTAGAAAAATCCTTCGGCTTGCACAATACCAATATGGCTGTTCTATAACGTTCAACACAAGTTAACCCCCCTTCAGCAGACCCCCTCGCTCCTCATAACACACTCCGCTACGGTCAGCAGCCAACTGCCAAGCATGCCCTCTCCAATCAACCGCCCTACTTTCCCACCTCTCCGCTAGATGGTTCTGCGGTGCATTCACTACAATTTCCATGCATTTCAATTAACAGTTATCACACAAACGGTAAACATCCACCTACTGCATTGCATGGATTTTATTTGAATTCAATAACCAACAGGAACCTCATTGCTGGGTACCTGACTAGGCTCTTCTGCGCATGCTGTCACCACGGCCACAAAATTATTCTACACACAAGGGGCGCTCATTGAATACAAACAGAAGTATATCGAAAGTCCTAAAAATAGCTGAATGGATTTGTTCCCCC